AGTCACACACATTTTATTTACGTATGTTTAAAAAAAGACGAAAATAACAAAATCACTTTGCTCCGTAAACATATTAAATCTGACAAGAAGTAATTCGATTTTTTTATTAATTTATAATGCAAACATGTTATTGAAGTTTGAAGTTTAAACAGTTTTCAATGAGAATATAAAATGAAGCATCTAACTAAATCTCAATTATGTAATTTTGGATATCTGTAGCAAAGATACATGAAATTGAGCTTAATCATCCCTTGTGATTTACATATAATTAATTCAAGTTACTCTAACCCTCGCTAATGCAACTACAGCATCCATTATACATTTAACAATTATCTCATCAAGGTCTTCTTTTTTATCATTAAAAACAATTTGAAACGATTACTGAGTTTTAATTTTGTAATTGAAAACCAACCCATTATTTTTTTTACTGAAACGATATAATATAGAAGCTTTACATTAAAACTAAGTTAGGCTTACCTTTAGTATCTATTTACATTAAACATACATTTCAATTAATTGTAAAACATGTATGAAAATATAAGAACTGACAAAGTCACGCTACTGAAACTTGATAATATAATATATAAAACTTTGAATGATAGTAAATTGGTTAGAGACATCCAAATATACCGTAATAAGTGAAAAACGTGAAAGAATACCCTAATGAAACTGAGCCTGAACTTTCCTGACATATAATGTATATAATCAGTTGATGTAACGAAAGGACATAAGGGAGCCAGATCTGAATTCCAACCCTCATACATACGTCTTCACTGGTAGAGATCAATAGAATAGTTCAGGGCACAAATAGGGCAATAGTTGGCATGGGGTAGAGGCGTTTGGATCTGACTCCATGTCACACCTCCTGGGGCCAGATCCGAATGCCTCTACCCCATGCCAACATCTCGGGGTGCCCTAAAGGTGCCTTAGAAGTTTTATAGATATCTATATATAACAAGGGTAACACATAGGAGCCCCACAGGGATGACACATGGGTAAGTTCTAAAATATATCACTCCCTCAGGGTACATGCTAAGTTTTGCTTAGATCGGTGAAAAACTATAGGCATGAAAATGACACACAGTGTCTCTCGAGGAAATGACATGGGAGTCAGATAGTTCAACCTTTTTATGACTCTCCTTGGGCGGTCATAAAGGTGCATGCCGAGTTTGGTTGAAATATATCAAAAATATATTATAGTGTAAAGCGGGCACATAGGCAACACTTCTATATATATATATATATATATATATATATATAC